CTGTCGTCCAGGAATGCAGTGGCACGCTCACGGCCACCACAGCCTCAACCTGCTGGGCTCAAGTGATCTCTCCACCTCAGCCTTCCAAGTAGCTGGAACCATAGGCACGCACCACCATGCCCGGCTAATTTTTTTATTTATTGTAGAGACAAAGTCTCGCTATGCTGTCCAGACTGGTCTTGAACCCCTGGGTTCAGGCAACCCTCTCCCCTCCACCTCCCAAATTTCTGGGATTACAGGTGTGAGCCACCGCACCCATCTGACACTCTATTCTTGTGATTATAGAAGTAAAAGTTGCCTGGCTCGGTGGCTCAGCCTGTAATCCCGCGTCTTTGGGAGGCTGAGGTGAGTGGATTGCCCGAGCCCGCGGGTTCGAGACCCGCCTGGGCAGGCGAGACCTCATCTCTACAATAAATCAAAAAATTAGCTGGGCATGGTAGCGCGTACCTGTAATTCCGGCTACTCGGAAGGCTGAGGCGGAAGGATCGCTGGAGCCCAGAAGGTCGAGGCTGCAGTGGCCGAGAGCAGCCACTGCACTCCAGTCTGGGCGACAGAGTGAGACTCCAAGTCAACAACAACAACAAAAAAAAGAAGTAAAAGTTCTGCTGGGGGTAAAAATTCAAATTCCACAGAAGCATCTTAAGAAGAAAGCAAAAGAGTCACTCTTCAAACATACTGTGTGTTCCTTTAAACGAAGCAGGTGTGACATCTCTTGGTCCATTAAAATAGCTTCATCAAGCAGAACCAAAACGTTCCACAGCTCAGGGGTTGGGAATGATGCCTCCCCTACCCCAAGCTGGGTGGCCACAAGCAAGGCACTCAACTGTCTGCACCTCAGTGTCCTTATCTGTAACGAGGACCATCACGGGGCACCGATTCCTAATGCTACGGAGAATTGCACGAAAGTATCCCCACCAAGTCCTCAGTGCAGGGTTGGCCCACGTGCGTGCCTGAGACGTTAGCTCCTCCGACGGTTACGATTCACTTCACACCCCACAGGCCTGTCCCTGTCAACACATTCCGATCCAAGGCTCCCTGGCAAACAGTTGCTTGGTTACCCAGGGCGCGGTTTTGTTAATTCATCTAATGAGTCCCCCGCTGAGGGGCGCCGGTTGATTGAACGAGTCTCCTCTGACAGGTGCTTACGTCGTGCTTTCCAGTTTGGAAGATGTTCATCAACAATGTGCAAGGAACGCCTCCCACACGAGGCTGGTCACGCTGGCCGTTTCCTCAGTGTAGTTCTGACCTCAGGTTCAAAGCGGTGTAATTGGAATACAGAGGTGCTCGTGGTTAGGATGCCAGGGTACTCGCAGAATATGGGGTGCTCACGGTTAGAATGTGGGGATGTTCATGGTTAGAATACGGGGTGCTCATGGTTAGAGTCAGGTGCTCATGGTTAGAATATAGGGGTGTTTATAGATAAAATGCAGGGGAGTTCATGGTTATAATGTGGGGGTGCTCATGATTAGAATGTGGGACACTCATGGTTAGAATATAGGGGTGTTTATAGTTAAAATGCAGGGGTGTTCATGGTTAGAATGTGGAGTGCAGGCCGGGCGCGGTTGCTCACGCTTATAATCCCAGCACTTTGGGAGGCTGAGGGAAAGGATTGCCTGAGCCCACCGTTTCAAGACCAGCCTGGACAACTCGAAGAGATCTCGTCTCTACAATAAATCAAGAAAAATTAGCCAAATGTGGTGACGCATGCCTGTAGTTCCAGCTACTTGGAAGCTGAGGTGGAAGGATTGCCGGAGCCCAGCAAGTCCATGCTGGGGTGGCCGTGAGTGTGCCACTGCGCTTCAGCCTGGGTGACAGAGTGGGACTCTGACTCAAAACAAGCAAACAAACAAAAAGAATGTGGAGTTCACCTGGTTAGGATGTCAGAGTGTTCATGGTCAGAGTCGGGTGCCCACGGTTAGGATGTGGGCGTGTACAGCTGGAACTGGGAGGACTCAGGGTTGGCATGCTGGGAGCACAGGCTCGGTCCCTGGACCCCTTCCTTCTCCAGTCTCATTCTCACGTGAAATCCTGCCTGCAGGGTGACAGCTCCCACGCATCATCCCCGCCCAGATCTGTTCCCTGAGCAAGGGCCCCATCCACTCAGCATGGCCGTGAGGAGGCGCCTCGGCTGTGTCCTCCCCACATCAGGGCTCCTGAGGCTGCTTCTCCTCCCACTCCGTCTACTGTCTTCTCCCCTGCGTCCGTGGCAGCTCCATCCTCTGTGTGCTCAGGTCAGAGGCTGCGGTGCCACCTCTGATGGCCCCCTCCTCTCCGACCACCTGCCCTCTGCCAGGGGGTCCTGACCATCCTCCCTTCAGAGCAAACCCAGACCCCAGTCCCCCTCGCTGCCTTCATTGCGCGATGCTGACCTAAGGCAGCACCTCGCCTGATTGTTGCAACAGCCTTGGAGCTGCATCCTCTCACCCCCACCCAGCAGCCATTGTGGGCCTGTTGAACTCACCTCACTCACAGCCCTGGGCCTCCACGCTCCTCCTCTGCCCTTGTCTTTAGTGATGATCTGTCTCCTCCTGTGGCTCCCTCCACTCTGGTCCCTCGCCACACTGCCCTCCTCACTGTTTTCCGCAAGCGCCAAGCAGGCTTCCACCACAGGGCTTTTGCACTTGCTGTTCCCATTGCCTGGGATGCTCTTCCCCAGATATCTGCGTGGCTCCCTCCCTTACTTCTTTCACTGAGGTGGTTTTTCAAGCTCCAGCTTCTCTGTGAGACTTTCTTTAATTTTTGTCTAATTTAATTTTTGAGTCAGAATCTCACTCTGTCACCTGCAGTGCAGTGGCATGAACATGGCCCACCGCAGCCTTGACCTCCTGGGCTCAGATGATCCTGCCTCAGTCTTCCATGTAGGTGAGATAATAGGTACATGCCACTATGCCCAGCTGATTTTTTCAGTTCTTTCTTTCTTTCGTTTTTTTTTTTTTTTGGAGACAAGTTCTCACTGTGTTGCTGCCCAGGCTGGTCTCGAACTCCTAGCCTCAAGTGATCCTCCTGCTTTGGCCTCCCAAAATGTGAGTCACCGTGCCCAGCAAGGCTTTTGGTTTGGAAAGTATTGTTGGTTGGTCACTCTATTTAAGCACTTATCGCATCCGATATGCTCTATGCTTTACTTATTTATTTTGTTGATTGTCTCCCACACTAGAATATAAACCCCACAAAGGCAGAACTTTTTGTCTCACTCACTGCCATATTTCTAGTGCAAGAACTGCATTTGATTCCTAGAAGATGCTCAGTATTAGTGGCATGCATGAATGAACTCATGGTTGGCCTGGTCCCCAGAGAGATTTTGCCAATAAGACATTGTTGGGTTTTTTAAAACACCCTGCAGGAGGGAAGAGACCTCGGGTTGGAGGCAGGAAAACTGCTGGCCCTGTGATGGGCAAAGACCATGCACGTTGGTTCTTCCTTTGAGGACAGAGCCCAGCAGTGACTGGACCAGCAGGTAACAGCTGAGGGTGTCCCAGCCCAGACTGGGGCCGCTGGATGTAGCCTGCTGACCACGGCTACCCTCTAGTGGTCTCTTGTGGAATAGCAGCCTTACCCGTCAGTGGGATGGGGTGTCAGCGACAGAGGTGTTCTTCCTACCCACCTTCTCCCTCCTCTTGCCCCTTTCTTCACCCTCTTTCCCCCTCCTTACGCTTCCCCTCATCTCTGCTCATCTTATTGTTCTGCTACCTTGTGGAAAGAGCTTTGGCCTTAGTTCACTGGGTTAAAACCTGGTTCTGGGCTGGGCATGGTGGCTCAAGCCTGTCATCCCAGCACTCTGAGAGGCCGAGGTGAGAGGACTGCCTGAGCCCAGGGGTTCGAGACCCGCCTGGGCAACTTGGTGCGACTTTGTCTCTACAATAAATCAAAAATTAGCCAGGCGTGGTAGTGCGCGGTTGTGGTTCCGGCTACATGGAAAGCTGAGGCAGAAGGATCGCCTGAGCCTGGCAAGTTGATGCTGAGGTGGCTGTGAGAGTGTCACTGCACTCCAGCCTGGGGCAACAGAGTGAGACCCCGAGTCAAAAAGAAAAAAATCTGGTTCTGGCATCTACTAACTGTGCAATCTTGAGCTAATTACTAAACCTCTCTGCATTGGTGTCCTCATCTGGAAAATGGGGATTATATAACTCTTGGTGGAAAAATGAGATAATCTACGTAAAGCACCTAACACAGTGCCTGGCCCAATAAGTGTTTGTTTATCATTATTATCATTATTATTATTTGAGACAGAGTCTCATTGTTGCCCAGGCTGGAGTGCAACAGTGTGATCATAGCTCATGGCTGCCTCAAACTCCTGGGTTCAAGAGATCCTCCTGCCTCAGCCTCCTGAGTAGCTAGGACGGCAGGCATGTGCCACCACACCAGGCTAGTTAGAAATATACACTGGGGTACCAAAAAAAGTGTACATACATGTTAAGTGATGTTATTTATGTATTACTTTTTGAAGTACTTTTCAGAAGTGTCTGGATGCTGATGGTAACCACTTTAAACACCTCTTATAATTGCAGAAGTCAAGCACGACTTGTATTCATCTTTTGCTATCGGCATATATTTTTCCTTTTTAAAACACGTGTACATTTTTTTAGAGACAGAGTCTCACTATGTTGCCCGGGCTGTTCTTGAACTCCTGGCCTCAAGCTCACCTCAGCCTCCCAAAGTGCTGGGATTACAGGTGTGAGTCATCGTGCTGGCCTACTTATTATTATTATTACTGGCACTCCACAGAGACTCAACCACTGGTGTTTTGCTTGCTTTCTTCATCCCAGGTGACCCAGGGTACATTGGCTCATGCAGGTCCTCTTAAGCAACGCTCATACCTCCCCATCGCAGACCATTTACATCAGAACCCTTGGGTGGTGTTTCAATGCAGACATTGGTGTTTTTTCAGGTTTAAATTAGCTTATGTCATCAACAAGGGTACCTGCACAATGAATATGTGTATACCTCCCTTGAATTGTATCCCACAATTTTAAAATAAAAATTAAAAGAGAAAAAATAATAATAAATTAACTTATGTGTATGTTTTCACCAGCATTTTTTAAAGCTTGTTAGAAGACACACGTGAGCAGGCCTGGCTGAGAACCACACGAGAGTGACCAACAGTCCTGAGCTACCTGGGACTTTCCCAGGCTTAGCACTGAAAGACCCATGGCCAGGAGCCCCCTCCATCTTGGGCAAGCCGATTCCTTTCCCAGAATGGAACATGCCTCTATTTTCTGAATCCCAAATCAGGTCACATGATCTGGGCACCGATGACTGGAATCGATGACATGAAAGAGCAGCTCGGGGTAGTGGGTCCCTGAGGCCGCAGGGTAAACCTGCAGTGAGAGCTGGACTCTGACTGGAAACAGAGAGGCAGGGACAGCTGGGCATGGCTCAGTCAGACAGGTCCCCGTCATCAGGCCTGCTGGGGGTCCAGCCGCTGGCTGCTCGCTCCATGGCCTTCACCCAGCGGCCCCTCAGCTCCTCCGTCTCGGCCTTGAAAGTGTAGAGCTGGCCGGACTGTTGCAGCTGGAAGACCCGGGGATCCCCCTGAGGTCCAGTGGTCACCTGGTAGCCCAGCAGGGGGATGGAGGTGTGAGCCCGCACGTCCTGGGGAGAGAAGAGAGCAGTGGGCCGCTGTCCCCTCAGTCAGTCCTGTCGCCCCAGACAGCCACGGGACAGTCACAGTCACATATCGCAGCTCACACCCCAAACCGTACAAAGAGGGCAGGCTCGTGGGGGGACAGAGTGGAAGAGTAGAGAACTGGCCACCCCTGAGGGCAAAGCAGCTATGACCTGGAGTCTCGGTCCGGCTCTGAAACCTACTAAGTCGGGGACTCAAGGGTGCCACAGCCTCACTGGGCCTCAGTCTCTTTCTCTGACATAGGAGGCCAACCACACTCACGGCCCAACCTCCTCCCCATCTCCACCCACAGAGGGAAGGCCAAGGCCTGGGCGGGGCGGGCAGTGGCCTCACCTGAGGGGCGGCATAGACATAGAGCACGAGTGGGTCATCATGAGGGATCACACACCATCCCCGGGGGCCGCTCTTGCCCCACCTGTCCCCGACGAGCTGCAGGAAGCTGCACACCAGGCTCTGGTCCGGCCCCGCAGAGGCCCCTTTCTGGAACCAGACATAGGGACATTCAGGGAAGACGGCATGCCCAAGGTCAGCCTGTGGGCTTGACAGGCCCTTCTGCTGGTCCTTGAAGCAACACTGCCCTTGTGGCTTGGAAAGGTCTGGTCGTGGGCCTGTGGTCCAGAGCCAGCCAGTGGCAGGGCTGCAGTCAAAGCCCAGCCAGCCTGAGCGTGTAGACCCACAGGATGGGTGCGGGGACTGCTTGCCACCTGCAAGCTATTCCAGGGAACAGAATCGGGGGTCCCAGAAGGGGCTGATCAACTCCAGGAGTGTTGCCTGCTGGTTGGGGAAGGCTTGGGCAGTGGCTAGGTCTGGAAGGACGGGGATGGTTAGGAAGGGCAGAGACAGCCTGGGCAACACAGCAAGACCCCGTCTCTACAACACAATCAAAGAAATTAGCCAGGTGTGTTGCCTGCCTGTGGTTCCAGCTATTCGGGAGGCTGAGGTGGAAGGATCACCTGAGCCCAGGAGGTTGAGGCTGTGGCGGTGAGCCATGATCGTGCCACCGAACTTCAACCCGGGTGACAGAATGAGACCCTTACCCAAAAAAATGGGGCAGCAGATGTTCATGGGGAAGAAACCCGCTTGAACCAGAGAGTTACTCTCAGTTGGACTAGGCTGGACCCTCTCCCACCTCCAGGAGACAGCAGAGGTTAACCTGGCCTTTATGAGGCAGGGCCGGGGGTGGTGGTGACCCTTGCTGGGCTGGGTGATATTTCTGTGCCAAGCTGAAAACAGCAGGTACCCATCGGGGAGCGCCTGTGGGGGTGGGGGTCGGGGTGGTTCAAGAGGCCTCAAGGGCTGCAGAAGGAGCATCCGTGCTGAGGCCCAGAGCGGGCTCCCAACTTGCCGTGGGACCTTGGGCAAGTCACTTCTCTGGGCCTGGGTCTCCATGGGATAGGACCAGCTCGTCCTCAAAGTCCCTTCCGGTTAGAATGGAGTCTCCGCTCTGCCTGTTGGGACAGGGCCTGGGGATATAACGTGAACTACCAAGGCGCTGTGCTGGGACTGGACAGGGACAGAGGGGAGGGCGCAGGAACCTGGACCACCGCCTTCCGCCAGAAGTTGCTTCCGAATTATCATAATACTATAAGAAAGGGTTTGGCGTGGTGGGGGATATTGGCAGTTGAGGGAAACTGCCAGGGGAGGGAAGAGCCCACCTCCTCAACAACGGCACCTGCATAATGAACATCTGTATACCTCTCCTGCCTTGTACCCTACATCTTTAAAATTTAAAAAAAAGCAGTTGCTTCCGTCTGGTGACACCGTCGGTGTCGTCGGGGCTGCGGGGAGAGGCCTGGGGTCCACAGGCAGAGAAAGAAGGTCGGGGGAACGGGAAGGACCCCGGCTGGCTTGTTCCTCGGCACCAGGCAAGGCCGGCTTGGGGGGGGCGCGTGGGGCGCACATTCACAGAAGGACAGGTGGCGCCGGGGGCGGCGGCCCTCACCCTCACCTCCAGGATGCCCCGCCTCCTGTCCTCTTTGTCCTCGGGGAGCACGTTTCCAGTCAGGAACGTGTAGCAGTCGAAGCAGACTCTGTTGGGCCGGTTGTCGTCGTACTTGAGCTCGGCCCGGTAGTCGGAGCACCTGGCACACACCACCTGGGCGGGGAGGAGGCGCAGGAGGGGACTGGGGCCTGGGGCCTGGGGAAGGGCCGGGTTCGAGCTTGGCCAGGGAGGCGGGGCCCGAGAGCACCCGGAAGCAGGAGAGAGGGCAAGAGTGAGAGGAGTGGAGAGGAGTGGAGTGAGAGGGCGAGGTGTTCCCCCAGGCTGGCGGAGGCCCAACTGCCTGGAGGCTGCAGCGTCTGGGGAGCTCAGGCTCTGGGCTCCCAAGTCAGGGGCTTGAGGCCTGGCCTCCACTGCTCAGGCCCTAGTTTCTGTCCCCTCCAATCCCCTCTTGTGAGGACAGGGGTGAACCCAGGGACTTGCTCAGGACACACCCCTGGCATCTGACTCACTTTCTCAAACACTCTCTCCTCTTACCTAGCTCTCCCAGTGATCCCTCAGGTAAGCAGGGCAAGGATTTTGTCTTCACGGGACCCGAGGGCCACACAACTAACTGGCAGACAGGCTCTCCACAAACAGGGTGTGTCTTTGAAGTCCCACAGTTTAGCTTTAAGATTTCACGCAAACTTTGCATTCTGCTTGGTCATGGAGTCAGGTGTATTCTAATATAACAATGATGGGGCCAGGTGTTGTGCCTCGCGCCTGTAATCTCAGCACTTTGGGAGGCTGAGGCAGGAGGATTGCTTGAGGTCAGCAGTTCAAGACCAGCTTAGGCAATATAGCAAGATCCCGTAGCTACAAAAAATTTTTAAAAATCAGCCAGGCATGGTGGCACATGCCTGCAGGTCCCAGTTACTCAGGAGGCTGAGGCAGGAGGATCACTTGAGCCCAGGAGTTTGAGGCTGAAGTGAACTATGAGCACATCACTGCACTCCAGCCTGGGCAACAGAGCAAGAACCTGGCTAAGAATAAGAAAAGATGGGCTGGTTGTTTTTGCCATGAGAACTCTGGAGCGGAGCCCACCTCAGCCCACCATGGAGAAGCCCCCCAGAGACCAACTGCAAATTATGCTGGGGAGTCCAGGTAAAAAAGACCTGAGCAGGCTGGACTCGGTAGCTCAGCCTGTAATCCCAGCACTTTGGGAGGCCAAGGCGAGTGAATTGCCTGAGCCCGCGGGTTTGAGACCAGCCCAGGCAACTTGGCAAGACCTTGTATCTACAATAAAAGAATTAGCCAGATATGGTAGCATGCACCCGTAGTTCTGGCTACTTGGAAGGCTGAGGCGGAAGAATCGCCAGCGCCCAGAAGGTTGACACTGGGGTGGTCACGAGTGTGCCACTGCACTCCAGCCAGGACGACAGAGTGAGACTCCAACTTAAAAACAAAAAACAAAAACAGAGACCTGAGCAGGCTTGGAGAAAACATGGCATGCTGCAAGGTATGACTTCGAGGAAACCTGGGGTATCCCAAGGGTGCAGGCTTGGAGATGGAGGGTGAGAAAAAAGGGGTGGAGGAGGAGGGTTACCCATCAGCAGCACCGGCGCTCTGGGAACGATCCGTGTGCCCACACAACATGGCCTGGGAGGGGCCCAAGAGAGCCTGGGCCTGCCCCACCCTTGCCAGGATTCCTGTCTGGCAGGCAGGGGAGACAGAAACTGGCGCCCGAACCATTGAAAGGATGACTCACCGGCTCACCAAGCACGAAGATCTGCAGGAGCCCAAGAACTCCACAACCAAGACCGGGGCACCTCATGCAGCCTCACGGGCCTTTGGCTACCTTGGGAGCACTTTCTTTTTTTTTTTTTTCTGAGTTGGAGTCTCACTCTGTCACCCAGGCTGGAGTGCAGTGGCACACTCACGACCACCCCAGCCTCGACTTGCTGGGCTCCGGGGATCCTTCCGCCTCAGCCTTCCGAGTAGCTGGAACTACAGGTGTGCACTACCATGCCTGGCTGATTTTTGATTTATTGTAGAGATGAGGTCTCACCAAGTTGCCCAGGCGGGTCTTGAACCCACGGGCTCAGGCAATCCACTTACCTCAGCCTCAGATTACAGGCTGAGCCACCAAGCCCGGCTAGATCTCACTATGTTAGCCAGGCTGATCTTGAACTCCTGGGTTCAAGCAATCCTCCCAAAGTGCTGGGATTACAGGCTGAGCCATCGAGCCTGGCCTATTTCATTTTTTATTGGGAGATTTACAATCTTACATCTCATTTGTAAATAGTTATTTTCTCCTTCACCCACTTTATTTTTTTTTTCTCTTTTTTTAGTGTCAGGCAGGGGGTGGTGGCGCACACCTGTAATCCCCGCACTCTGGGAAGCCAAGGTGAGAAAATTACTTGAGCCCCAGGGTTCGAGATCAGCCTGGGCAACTAGTGAGATCTCATCTCTACAAAACATCAAAAAATTAGCTGGGCACGGTGGTGCACTCCTGTAGTCCCAGGTGCTAAGGAGGCTGAGGTGGAAGGATCATCTGAGCCCGGGAGGTCGAGGTTGTGGTGAGCCGTGGTCATGCCACTGAACTCCAGCCTGGGTGATAGAGTGAGACCTTGACTCCAAAAGAAAAATGTCAAACCTACAGACAAAATGGAAGAAAACAATGATACCACATACGAAATTCACCAATTGCTAACGTTTTTGCTGCATTTTCTTTCTCTTGATATGCATGTATGCATTTTATTTTTTCTGAACTGTTTGAGAATAAATTACAGTCGTCATGACACCTCTCCCTTAAATATGTAGCTGCATCTCCTAAGAAGGCCGTTCCTTTACCAATCACAATGTCATGGTCACACTTGAGAAATTTAACACTGATACGATATTATTATCTCTATACGGTGCATAATCAAATTTCCCCCGATTATCCCAATAATGACGTTGGTAGCTTCTCCTCCCAATCCAGGATTCAAGCAAGGACCATGTATTTCATTTAGTTTATTTCATCCTATAATTGAGACCAGATCTCGCTATGCTGCCAGATCTTGACCTCCTGGCCCCTAGTGATCCTCCTGCCTCAGCCTCCCAAAGTGCTGGGATTATAGGCACAAGCCACCACGCCCAGCCTAGTTGTCAGAACATTTAATATTTTAAGCTGGAAGGTGGGTATATGGGTGTTGTTATTCTTTGTGCCACTTTGTATATTTTAAAAAACGACTTAAAATAATTGTTTAGGAACTACTGTGAGTCGATTCAACTCTTACTCACAGATGTGAATCACCGAGAACAGTAGCTAATCGCCAGTCCTTTGTGGTTGGCTTTGGGGTGTTAACTCATCACTTGCATCTGAAGCAGGTGTGTCCTCAGCCCTAGAAATTTGCTCTGTGCCCTGATGGCAGTTTTAAACCTTTGGAGGACACCTCCCTGACAGGCCCCAACCTCTCCAACGGGGTTCCTCCCATTACGGGAGGGCAAGGGAGACTGAGGTGGCAAAGCCGTCTCCCAGCAGGTGACTCCCTGCCACCTGGTGCCCTCCTGCGCCATGGAGGAGGGGAAGAAAAGGGAGAAGGAGGATAGGGAAAGGAGAGCGCTTTCTTTGCCGAATCCTCACCCTGGAGGAAGGCAGCATATCCCCAAGGTGTGGGTGAGGAAACTGAGGCATGAGCCAGGTGGGTAGAACCAGCAACAGAACTGACCAGGTGCCAAGGTGCAGGGACGTGCCGAGGGGGGAGGGGACAGTGAGCCAGGAGGGGCGAGAAGAGGATGGCAGGATGGCAGGGGGTGAGCGGGTGGGTGCCAGGGCAGGGGCAGTCAGGGGAGGTGCAAAGCCAGAGGGCACAGGGTGGATGCCTCCCCGACACACAGAACTAGAGGCCTTTTCCTCTGTCTGGGGCTGGAGGCCTCGGAAATGCTAAGAAGGCAGTGGGTCAACAGGGTGAACTTGGGAGGGTGCCTAGCCAGGCACTGAGCCTCTCTGGACTTCATTTTCCCATCTATAAAATGGGGAAATAGCAACTCCTGCTTCAAGGCGTGCCATGAGGGCGAACTGAGGTAGCACACGGGCCTAGCTCGGAGCTTAGTGCCTGATGCTCCTGGGTGCACTGATTAAAGCCGGAAGAGTTGACCAGAAAGGAGTGGGGACCAGGACCTGAGCTGGGAGGGCAGGGGCATAGGCAGGATAGCTGGAGGGCTAGACGGAACAGACGGAGGCCTAGGCAGGACAGGGGGAGGGTTAGGTGGGACAGGTGGAGGCCTAGATGGGACAGGTGGAGGGCTGGTTGGGATGGGTAAAAGGCTGGTCAGGACAGGCAGAGGGCTAGGTGGGACAGGTAGAGGATGGGGAGACAGGTGGAGGGATAGTCGGGACAGGCAGAGGCCCGCATGGGGCAGGTGAAGGGCTGGTCAGGACAGGCAGAGACCTGGGTGGAACAGGCAGAGGCCTGGGGAGGACAGGCAGAGGCCTAGATGGGACAAGGGAGACCTGGTCAGGGCAGGTGCAGGCCTAGGCGCAACTGGAGTACTCACGTAGCCGCAGGCCCGGCAATGGTGGCGGCGGCGTGTCAGGGCGTTGAAGGGGCCCTGGCAGCGCATGCACATGGTCACCATCTTGTCTCGGACCCACTGTGGCGCCCGGAGGCCCAGCTCCTCGGACTGCAGCTGTGGGACAGGGAAGCATGGGCGGCCTGGGCGCGCCTGACCCTTTTTGCCTGTTCTCCTTGGGGCCCTCTGCCCGCCTGCCCGCAGCAGGGGTTCCCTGTGTTGTGGCTCCCGGCGACTTCCCATGAAGCTGAGCGCACTGATCAAGACCTTATGATAGATTCACTGTATGATTCCCATTTCACAGGTGAAGAAACCGAGGCTCAGGGAGTCAAGCGACTCAGCAAAGCCACCCAGCAAGCCAGAGTTCAGAGCTCAGTGCCGGATGCAAGTCACAGCCCCACCCCACCTGCCTTCCACCCTTCCTTGGTCTTACATTTCTCACACCCCTTCAAACCCAAACTGTCCTGTCCCCACAGCCGGAGCTATGCAGAGGGCCCAGGGCTGCCAGCTACCGCGGCATACAGGGGCCTGCAAGGAAGTGCTACCCACGGGAAGACTCTGGCGCCAAGTCACTGAGCAGGGGGACGGGGGGTGGGAGGGCTACCCCCGGTTCCTTCAAACCACCCCTGGTGGGTGACACTCCCTGTCCCTCTGAGCTGGCGCAGGCAGAGCAGAGAGGAAACCGGCTCCGTGCGGCCTGGCGGCCCAGCAAGGGATGCAGAAGGCTCCGTCCGCTCACCTCCTGCTCCTGGGCGCCTCCCTCGGGCCCCTGGCACGCAGCCTTGAAGGTTTCATTGCGCTTCTCGATTTGGTCAATAGCGGCTTGGCAGGCCTGGGGGGAGGAGGCGACTGAGGGGTGTGTGTGTGTGGGGGTGCTGCTCATCTGTCCCCTTCCACCCACCCAAGAGACACTGCTGAAAGTTGACCGGGTGCTGCCATGTCCTGGGTTCCAAGCACATGTGTGGTGAGTTATGGGAGGAGACACTATTAGCCCCAGATTATGGATGCAAAAACCGAGGCCAGCAGCCACAAAAAAGATTGACATCATGTTCTTGGCTGCAACGTGGGTGGAGTTGGAGATCCTCCTCCTAAGTGAACTGACTCATAAAGAGAAAACCAAACACCCCATGTTCTCACTCATACACGGGAGATAAATGGCCGCAGAGGTGGAAAAAACAGACACCAATTCAGGGGGGAGAGGGGAGAGGCGTTAGGGTTCAGATATTACCTACAGGTGACAATGTTCAGTCTCTGGGGAACGGACCCCCTGAGACCCGATCCCCACCACTACACAATAGGTCCATGTAACAGACAAGCACACGTACCCCCTGAATCTAAAATAAAAATGGAAAGGAAAAAAAAAAAAACCCTGAGGGTCAGAGAAGTTAAGTGACTCGCCCCAGGCTGCCCAGCTAGGCATGGAGTGGCAGCAAGATTTGAACCCAGATCTGACCCTAAACTAGCACAGAGCTAGGAAGAGCAGGTGGTAGCTGGGCATGTATACACACACACACACACACACACACACACACACACACACACCTGTACACACATGCACACACACGAATCTCTGCTCTGCCCCCCGCCCCAGCCTGAGCAGGCCAGGGTCTGCATCTGAGGGCCCCAGAGCGGTCCCATACCTGCACCCAGGAAAGCATTTCCTCCTGGGACCTGCTGGGAGAGTGAAGCAGGGGTGAGAAGTAGCCCCTCCCAGGGTTCCCGCCCGCCCGGCCCCCTCCTTACCGCGCCTGAAGCTCCAAGGTGCGCTGCTTCCCAGACACCAGGAAGGAGTGGGAGAACTCGGCGTCAGGCAGCTTCCGCACCTGCAAGAGGCGGCAGGGCGGCCCGTTCAGACTCGCCGTGCCCCCTCCTAGGCCCGGCACGGTGGAGGGGAGGGGGGTGCACCGTGCCCCAGCGCAGGTGCCTGCGGCTGGGCCCGGCTCTGGCCAAGTGGGCCCCGGCTGCCAGAATCTTAGCAGCTGCCAAGTTGGCCCAGCTGAGTGAGGCAGGGGTCTCGGTTCCTGCAATGAATTCACCCAGAGTTGGAACTGGATTTTAAAACTAGATGAGTTCGTGAGGGTCCCTTGTACCATTTTCCAGGTTTTAAAATGTCTATAACAAGGCCGGCGCAGTGGCTCAAGCCTGTAATCCCAGCACTCTGGGAGGCTGAGGCGAGAGGATTGACTGAGCCCACGGGTTTGAGACCAGCCTGGGCAACTTGGCGAGACTTCATCTCTACAATAAATCAAAAAATTAGCCAGGCATGGTGGCGCATGCCTGTAGTTCCAGCTACTTGGAAGGCTGAGATGGAAGGATCACCTGAGCCCAGCAGATTGACGCCCGGGTGGCTGTGAGCGTGCCACTGCACTCCAGCCTGGAAGACAGAGTAAGACTTCAACTCAAAAAAAAAATTAAAGTCCATAATAAAAGTTCCAGAAGATAATTTTCACAGCAATCTTAGGAAGCAGATGTTGTCATCCTCATGTAGAAGATGAGGACATGGAGGCTCAGAGAGGGCAAGAGACCTGCCTGAGGTCACACAGCATCTAAAGTGCTGTGGTAAGGATTCTAACTCAATTTTCAGCCCCCAGGAGTGAAGTGGAAGACAACTATTTCCGTCCTATCCCCAGAGTTCTGTAAGCACAGACCTCTGCCAGGTAGAGTGGAGAGAGATTTGCAAAGCTAAGTCAGAGCCCTAGAGCCCAAGGGCCTCTGAGTAGGGGAACGTTGGTGCCAATGCATTCAACGCTTGGGCTCCCTGCCACCTCCCTGCATACCTTCAGGTCCCAGAGAGCACTGAGTAGAGGCCCACCCTCCCGTGGGCTAGGCCTCAGTGGCTAATCAGACTAATCAGTCTCTCCCTCCAGAAGAGGCCTGACGTAATTTGGACTCAATGCCCTTGGCAATAGGAAGAACCCTTGGCTTCATAAAGGTCGTATGGAGAGAGGTGCTGGGGAAAGTCACCCAGCATCTGAGTACAAGGGACAAGGGGCTAGATTTGGGCAAAGTGGAATCGACCCGTAGCCCAAAGGCCAGGTAGCAAGCGACATCATAAGCGACATCATAAGGCTTGCCCAGGGCCTGGCTCCAGCAGTGAATGCACTGGAGAGAGAGAAGAGGTTTTGAGTCAGGGTTTTGCGCCATCACCCAGGCCAGAGTGCAGTGGCACAATCATGGCTCACTGCAGCCTCAACCTCCTGGACTCAGGCAATCCTTCCACCTCAGTGGCTCAGCCTGTAATCCCACGCCTTGTAAGGCTGAGGTGAGTGGATTACCTGAGCCCGTGGGTTCGAGACCCGTCTGGGCAACTTGGCCAGACCTCATCTCTACAACAAATCAAAAAATTAGCCGGGCATGGTAGCGCGCGCCTGTAGTTCCAGCTACTCGGAAGGCTGAGGCGGAAGGATCGCCAGAGCCCAGCAGGTAGAGACTGTGGTGTCCGGGAGTGGCCACTGCACTCCAGTCTGGGCGACAGAGTGAGACTCCAACTCAAAAAAAAAAATTTTTTTTTAAATTTTTTTTGTAGAGGCAAGGTCTCACTATGTTGCCCAGGCTGGTCTTGAACTCCTGGCCTCAAGCAATCCTCCCTCCCAATGCTGGGACTATAGATGTAGACCACCACATCCAGCCAACAGAAGAGATTTATAATCGGGTCAGGGAAAGGAAGGGAGACATCCAACATTTGCAGTCTAGAAGTAGGAAGAAACAGAATGCTTTTGATCGAGGGTACAGGGTGCCCCTGGGTTGTCCACACAGAGCCTCCAGCTCCAAACAAGGTTTCTTTCTTCCTTCCTTCCTTCCTTCCTTCCTTCCTTCTTTCTTTCTTTCTTTCTTCTTTCTTTGTAGGAGTCTCACTCTGTCACCTAGGATGGAATGTAGTGGCACGCTCATGGCTACTGCAGTCTTCACCTGCTGGGCTCAGGTGATCCTTCCATTTCAGCCTTCAGCCTTCCAAATAGCTGGAAATCTGTACAGGCATGTGCCACCATGTCCAGTTAATTTTTTGATTTATTGTAGAGATGTGGTCTCGCCAAATTACCCAGGCTTGTCTTGAATCTCTGGACTCAGGCAATCTTCTCTTCTCCACCTCCCAAAGTGCTGGAATTACAGGCATGAGCCAAACTAGGTTTCAAGAGGACAGTTTCCTGAGCTCTGTCATGGCAAGCCTCAACTTTCCCAGGTCTGCGTCAATTCAGTCCCCTGCTAGTCCGTACAGTGTCTTTGTGCTAATTAGAAAAGACCACTCTTCTTCAAAACACTTTACTGACATCTATTGGCAAACTGGCATCATATCCAAATTTTGTCGGAATAAGACATTTGACTGCCATCTGCAGGACAATTCTCCCTATAAATATAAAATCTGATACTGCATCATAGTCTGCTAATCTGTAGGTGGTACCCTCTGCATATTCTTGTGCAGTGCACAACCTGCACCGCTGTACGTGGAGTTCCTAGGTATGTGTGCCCACATCCCTTATTTTCTTCTGAACTGGCTCTGTCCAGGATGACAGAATATCAAGAGCAGGGTAGACCTTGGGACTGCTGTGAATGAGGCCTTCTTGACACCCAGGAAGGGGGAGGCCAGTGGATCACAGGCCAGTGGGAACCAGCATGGTGGTCAAAGGCCTGACCTGCCTCCAAATCTCAGACCCAGAAAGTGGTTCCCGCCCAGACGCTGGGCAGGCCAGCTCTGTATCTGCCAAACCCACACCATCCACGAGAGGGTGCTGTGTAGCCGCCGAAGTATCAGACGAGCTGCCTGGGACCGGCAAACACCAAGAACCTGGCACATGTGCCCTTGACATGCGCCCTAAGCACTGACCTCTCAGGCTGGGTTCTCTGCTTCCCCTCCCCTTCCCGTTCCCATCTCCCCCCCTTGCTCTCTAGCTCTCTTGGTTTGTTTTTTTTTTTTTTTTTTTTGGGGGGGGG